ATTCGTCATTAAAAATAAATTAAATATGTCTTTTTAGCCTGGTGATCTCTGTAATGTGTTGTAGTAACGAAGAATATTAACTAATGCTTGAGCACAAGTTAAAGTAAAATATAGTATTGTAGTATGTACTCATCATATACGGATTGAAATTTTCAAAGGTTTGAATATTCTTTCTTGACATTTGTGTGTGGATGTCACTGCAGTATCAAAGCTAGCAGGTTGAGGATGTTACCTGTATACCCTGGAATATATGGAACTATGTTCCATCAGGCTCTCTAGAGGTACCATCCAAACCTTGGTTTGTTATAATACATCTCTGTAGTTCTATCAACTACCCAGAATTTTAAGATCACAATCTTTTATTTATTTCTGCTGTGTATGTTCTCTAGTGATTCCTTGTATAGTTTATTCTTATTTCTTGACTTAAAGTTTCAGTTAGGCTTTTAGACATTTTATTTGTGCCACAATACTTGACCCCATTGGTAGAACTATGTTTTGTTTTTTCATTCGTTTTTACGGTCTTGGTGGATAATAATTGCCATTCTTGTCAAAGTGAAAGTGGGATCCACTTGCTGCTTCCCTGTAAAGGCCAACAATGGAAGAATTTTGACAACTGTGGTAGAAATAGAATTACTAATTAGTAATTACTATTTTACTCCCTCCGTTTTAAAATAACTGTTGTTTAATGTTTTTGCACATAAATCAAGGATGCAATGATGTTGTCATAATATATTACACTTTTACAAAATTAACTCTATTAATATATTGGAAGTAGTATAGAGAGTAAAAAGTAAATGACACAATTGAAAAAATAATAATCATTACTACATTGAAAAGTGAGAACGACAGTCATTTTTAAACAATTTTTTTTTTGTTCAACCGACAGTCATTTTGAAACGGAGAGAGTAGTTTGTATAGCTGGGAGATGTGCTTGTTTGTTAGGAGCTGCAAGTATCGTGTAACACATAAAATTTAGACATTTTGCTGTATTACCCCAAATCATATGTTCTGATACCAGTTTGAGATTTGTAGCAATGTGAATGTTGTATGCTATTTCTTGATTTGTAGCAGTGTGAATTGCCAGCAGGCCATGGCAATTGTCACGGTGCTCAATAAATTGGCATTTAGACGGTAATTTACTTCACGTGATATTAGAAATTTCTCAAATACCTAAGGTAAATAAAAGACAGTTCAAATGAAGCAAATGTGCATGTAGATTAATCTGATTATACTTTGATTAATTGGTTTGGCTTTAGTGCTTCAGTCTAGGATACTGCTCGTGCTGTTTTGTTAAAAATCAGTTAATAACATAGTGAGAATTGTAAATAAAATGTTAATAGTGAGTGTTGTCAGCACTATCAAAATGCTAAATATAGGAACCAAGTTTCAAAATTGGATATAACTAGATTTTTGTTGTATGCATTAATATTGTTAAATGGGAATTTCTTAGTAGATTCTTATAGTAGTGAAATTTTTTTCTGAAAACTCCAAAATATTCTTTGGATATGAATATCCGAATGAAATTTCTATATTTCATTTTTAGTGAATTTTCATATATGTATATCCGAAATAACCTAATATTTAAATTTTAGGGGGTTTTCGGATATGCATATCCGAAATAATTCAATATCTCAACTTTATTTTGATTTTATTTTAAATTTAATTTGTAATTATTCTAAATTTGAATAATATTTATTTTAAATACATACAATTTTGTTGTTCTTATTTATTTCAGATTTGTTTTTATGTTTAGAAAGAAATAATTATAGTTTTAAAAGTTAAGACTTAAATCAAAATATATAAAAAATTATACATGTTAAAGCATATTTTCTCCACTTTGTTTAAAAAATAGAGGTTATATTATAAGTTTGTTTTAGTTATTTGTATAAATTATACGAAAGAAAGAAGAATTTGTTCTAACTTTTGAAAGAGCTATTTGACATAATATTAATATTTTTAATGTATGTCTTAACTTCTTTTACTTTAAAAGATACATCTTTCATTTTATTTTGTTTTAAATAAATTGTTATTTTAATTTAGGAGAATACAATAAAGTTGTTTAGAAACTTTAAAGTCTAAATAATTTATTTTAAATAATAATAATTATTGTAGTATATAATTTATTTCTAGTATGTTATTTTGATAAATGATTATTTTAAAAAGTTAATAATAATTAGAGATTTTAATTTAATTTCAAATAGTATATTTAATTTGGATATGGATATTTAAAAATCTTTTGAAAATGAAATATTAAGTTATTTTGAATATGTATACCGAAAACTCTCTGAAAATGAAATATAGAGGTTCGCTTGGATATACATATCTGAAAATTTTCTGAAAATAAAATTGGAATTATTCGGTCAATGAGTCTTAAGAAGACATAAAGGTGTACTAAGATATCCCCTTGTTAAATATAGTGACTTTTAGGTTGAAGGCTCCAACATGGTACACACCAATGGACCAAATGAACATAATTAATAGTCAATAGATTAATCTAACCCACAAATCTAACTATATGCTACATAGGCTAGATCACATCTCTTTTCTTCCATGTGTTCGACTCTTCTCTACCTTCAAAGCCATATCCATCAACATGATCACGGGCCATTTCCACTCTTTTCGTGAAAGAGAACACTTGATGGTAACTTGGTAATAACAAAAATAGTTTTTTCTCTCTATTATGTAGAGGCATTTCTTGTCGGGAGATTATGGCATCTCAAAAGACATCACTTAAATTTTGAGAATTTCTTTTTTCACCCTTAAAGGTTTTCATTAACTTCTGGCAAAAAATTAAAAATGCTCTCAGTTTTTGGAGAACCATTTTTAGATGTACCATTTTCACATAAAATAAGCGTTAATTCAGAGGTGCATCTCCGTATAAATTTTAGGGTTAATTTGCAACTGCATCTCTGAATCAACCCTTATTTTCAAATTAAAGAAAGTTTTTGAAAATGTATTTTCGAACGCGTTTAATATATATATATATAACGCGCGCCAGACCATCTCTCTCCTTCATTTTTTCAAATTTTTCATTTTCCATTAGAGGTCATAAACAACATTGTTTCAGTAAATTTTTCAAGCAACACAAGAATCTCTATTTCTATCTTACCAATTTCAACTCACTCCACCTACTATATGAACATTATTCATCCTCGTTAACACTGTTTTGAGTATGTTTTTCATTTTCTTAAAACTTTTGATAAATGTAGGAAAAATATCATTTTTGGTCTCTTAACTTTACCTCGGGGTCCATTCTGGTCCTTAATCTTTAAAAAGTTTCAAAGTGGTCTTTTAATTGTTCAAAAATGATCACATTTGTTCTTTCTATATGTGTTGTTAGTCAAAGTCAATGGTAGCGCTTAGGTGGCATATATGTGGCATTACACGTGTTTAAATTGCTTTACATGTGGATTAAAGTTTCTGAATACTAAAATAGAAAAGCGAATGAGTAGTTTAAACACATAACACATTGTTGCTTCTTCAAGGTAATCCCAGCGCAACCATTGTTGGTATCTCTGTTCTGCGAAGAAGCTGCGAGCGAAGCGAAGACATATTCCGTTCTTGAAGGTGAAAGCAAACACAACACTGTTCATCATATGTAAGTTTCTGCAAAATTATAATTTTCGTAGTTAAGATTTTTTGAAATCCATCTTTCTGAAATCTATGTTCTTCGTGTCTATTTAGGGCATAGTCTGAAATGTATGAATATCTGAACATTACAATACACCACAATGGTGAATTTGTTAGTGAGGACATGAGTGTGTACAAAGGAGGTGAGATTCCCGATTTGAGAGTAAATGCTGATAAGTGGAGCTATTTTGAATTATTATGTGTTATTAAGAAACTAGGTTACGCGGACATAGATAATATATTATATGGATCCTATTGTTGGGATGAATCTGTTGGTTAATGACAAAGGGGCATTAGAGATTGCTGATCTATATAGGGTTCGTCTTAGCGTTGAAGTCTTTATTCAACACACGTTGTCACAACCTGATTATGCTGATGAGACTGAAATTGTGTTTGATGAGATACCCCTTAATGAGATAGTTGATGAGGCATAAGTTATGCTTGAGGAGATGTTGAAGGAAACTGATTTAAGGGAAGATGATGTTAGTATGAATGATGCAAGAGAAGATGATGTTTGGGAATATGATGATAGGATGAAAGATGTAAGGGGAGATGGTGTTAATGCAGTAGGAACTGATGATAATGGGCCAAGGGTTGGTGAGCTTGAAAATGATGATATTGGACATAGGGCTGGTGAGGTTGATGATGTTGTAAGGTTGACTGGTGATGATGATAGTTCTGATGATAACAGCTTCAATTATGATAGTGCAATGAAGGTAGTATTTGGTGATGACTCTGATGAGTATGATACTCACTTGGAAGAGGAAGAGGGTAACCTAATTGACTATGAAGTTGAAGATGAACAAGTGAAAAGCAAAAAAGGTAAAGAAAAGTGTGAAGCTAATAAAGAAGATAACAAAGGAAGTGATAATGAAAGTGATGATCTTGGAAGTGAATGTGATAGTGATGATAGCAGTAGAGTTAGGAGAAAGAGTATCCAATTTTCAAGCTTCAAAAGGATGTGTCCAATTACAAATGGGAAGTGAGAACCTATTTTAATACAACAGGAGATTTCAAGGAAGCATTTACCTCTTATGCAGTTCAATATGGAAAAAATTTAAGGTTCATTAAAAATGACAAGAAAAGGATTAGGGTTAGGTGTAAGGATGAATGTGAATGGGAATTTTATTGTGCTAAATTGTCCACTGAGGATTCTTGGCAACTAAGAAAGGTAGTGGACACTCATAGTTGTAGTACAAAATATAATGTGAAGTTATTAAAGACTAAATGGTTGAGTAAGAGGTTGTAGAATTCACTTAAAACCAACCCTAGAATGAAGCTTAAGGACATTAAGGAAAAGATACAGAAGAAGTGGAATGTGAGGGTTCAACAAAACCAAGGCTATAAGGGCTAGGTTTGCAGCCAGAGACATGGTTGATGGGTCATTCCTAGGGGATTATGCAAGGATATATGACTATGCACATAATTTATTAAGATCTAACCCAAGGTCAATTGTAAAAGTGCATGTCCAACCTGCACAAGAAGGCAATGATGTTAAAAAGTTATATTTCCAAAGGTTATACATATGCTTGACAAATTATAAGGAAAACTTCAAGTTAAGCACACATTTCATTAGACTTGATGGATGTTTTTTGAAAGGCCTCTGCGGAGGTCAAATCCTTGCAGCCATGGGAAGAGATCCTAATGATCAAATGTTACCAATAGCATATGCAGTGGTGGAGTGTGAAAACAATGATAACTGGACATGGTTCTTAGAGCTGCTTATTGATGATCTTGGTGGAAGAGAATATTGTCTCACATACACTTTTATTTCTGATCAACAAAAGGTATGAATCTATTTTTAATTCTCAATTGATAAGTATTTCCATTTTTTAAATTCTCATGTTACAAATTTGATGACTTAGGGTTTATTGCCTGCAATAGAAGAATTGTTGTCCAGAGTTGAACAAAGATTTTGTGCTGGGCATCTCTACAATAACTTTAGGAAGAGGTATCCAGGAAAAAAAGCTAAAGGAAATCATATGGAAAGCTGCCAAGTCAACTTACTACCAAACTTGGGAAAGAGAGATGAAAGTAATGAAAGAGTTCAATGGAGAAGCATACAAGCACACGATGAGCACCCCTCCAAGGTTTTGGAGTAGATCATATACTTCAAGACTGAAAACAAATGTGATGCGGTTCTCAATAATATGTCAGAAGCATTTAATAGTGTCATCCTGGATTCTAGGGTCAAGCCATTGATAACCATGGTGGAAGAAATTAGAATATACATGATTGAGAGATGGGCTACAAAAAAGTTGAGGTTTCAGAAATTGGCAGATGTTGAAGTGTTGCCAAACATTAGGAAGAAGGTTGAGAAAACAAGTTCTTACACAAACATGTGGCTTGTCAGGTAAATTACTTTAAACAAATTTCTTTAAACAATTTTTGTGTTATGATGTCTGATTTTGGAATGTGTATTTATGTGTTAGGATGTTTGATGAGCATATATTTGAAGTGAGGCATCTGGAAATCCCAGGTGAAAAATTTATAGTCAACTTGAAGGAAAAGAATTGTTCATGAAGAATATGGGAGCTAACAAGCCTACCTTGTGTTCATTCACTTGCAGCAATTAAAAGTAGGAATCACAAGATTGATGACTACATTCTTGATTATTAAAGGAAATCAAGATATATGCAAGTGTACAAACCTGTAATATTTCCTGTTAATGGCTCAAACATGAGGATGAGAACAGAGTATCCTGATGTTCTGCCCCCCAAATTTAGGAAAATGCATGGAAGGAAAAAAAAAGGAGAAATTTAGAGCAAGGTGGGATAGATGGTTCTGATAAAAAGATGAGAAGAACTTGATTCATTATAAAGTGTATTAGGTGTAAGAAAGCAGGACACAACAAGCCTACTTGCAAGGTACCATCAACTAGTCAAGCATCTCAAGAAGCTCCTACACAAGCATCTCATCCAGCTCATACACAAGCATCTCAGTCAGCTTCTTCTCAAGCATCTCAGGTAACTCCTACACAAGCATCTCAACCAACTCATACACAAGCATCCCAACCAGCTCCTTCACAAACATCCCAACCAGCTACTTCTCAAGCATCCCAACATGTGGCTTCTCAATCGTCCAAGAAAGTGACTCCCAAATCCAAAAAGTTGTCAATTAGAAGGCCAATGTGTAACGCCCGTAATTTAATTAATTATTTAATTAAATTATTTTTGGAATATTTGTGAAGTTGTGTTGTGATTAGTTGGATTTAATTATTTTATTAAGTTGTGGAATAATATTAGAAGGATAATATTATTTGATGTGGGCTTGTTTTAAAGGATAGAAGTAGTAAAAATGGGTGTAGTAGTTTTAAGCCCATTAAGGTATTTTGAGAATAATAAGATTATTTTATTAGTGTTAGAAATAATAGAAAAGAAGAAGCAGTAAGAGAGAAAGAATAAGGGTTTGAAAGAAGAGAACGTGAAAGCTGTTGGAAAGGAGGAGAAGAGGCAGAACGAGATTCAACCGAAAAAGTTATAGAGCAACCTTCAATCCAAGGTAAGAGTGGAGTGTTGACTCTATAATATGGTTTATGATAATTGGTATGTGGGGTTAGAGGTGAAAGATTGTTTGGTTTATGATTGAATTATATATGATGTTGTATGATGAGAATCGATGAATTATGGATGAATAACGATGTCCCAATGCTGTATATATGATGTAGAGTTATAGGATAATTATAATTGATGATTATCTATGGTTAGAAGATGTTTTTAGGGCCTAAAGCATGGAAACTGTAGTGAAAATGCAGAGAAATCACAGAAAATATCCATGACAGAGCAGTATGTGTCGACCCTAAATATTATACATCGATACAAGAAGGCCTTTAGACTCAGGATGAGTCGATGCGAAGGAGTCATGCGTCAATACATGAAGGTTTTTAGACTCAGGATGAGTCGATACGTAGGGGCATGTGTCGATACATGCAGTGTTGCAGACTCAGTATGAGTCGATACAAGAGAGTATGCATCAGCTCATGTAGCATGTTCAGTCCAGTACGCGTCGACCCAAGGCATTACACGTCGATCCATGTTGTCTGGTTTTTGACAGAATCATTTTGAAAAGGCTGTAACTTGAGTTTTCGGACTCCGTTTGAGGTGTCGTTCGAAGCGTTGAATAGCTAACGCGATAAAGTTCATTCTTAAGGATTAAAATGAAGAATAGGAAGGAGAATCCTAGTATCCAAATTAAGACTAGAGTTAGTTCCCGTGTTAGTCGCTATGTTGATTTATGTGAAGAATGATGGGGATGAGATGATTATAGATTATTTTTTGGTTTGTAACAGTAGGATTAATGATGATAATGATGTAGTATTACAGAATAGTAATATGTAGAGGTTTGGTAGTTTAGAAGTAAGCCTTAGATGATTAATTAATTATAGGCAATATCATGTTGTAGGCCTATGGCCAACGTTGCGAGATTGACGATTTGCTGTTGTATTGTTGTATGGATGAGTTGTTGATGAAATGATGTTTGATTAATTATGATGTATAAATGATGTTTGATGAATTATGATGATAAATGATGTTAATGAACGATGTTGATGAAAGATGTTGAGATGCCTCTAATAATTGGCAGCTATTAAGATGTAGGCTTCTGGCCAACGACGATGTTGTGTTGAGATGTTATTGATTTTGGTGTTGTCATTACATTCATGATTGTGTCGCATACATTGCATTTTAAGATGGAGCTTATGCTCGTTAAGATGACCTGTATTGGAGAATATTAAGATGAAGGCTTATGCCTTGTTGATGCCTCTATTTATTGGCAGATTTTTAAGATGGGAGTTCTGCTCCAATGGTACCACATACATTTGCATAGTATTTAGTCGTATTATATGATTGCATAAAGAAGTTGTGAATTGATGTGGTGAATGTGTATTTGTTGTTGGTATTTTCGTTGCAATTATTGTTGATTATAAGATGAGAAGTGGTGGTGTTATGTGATCTAATTTAATATATTAGTTATCATACACTTTATTATATTGTTAGATATCTCACCCATTATGTTTGAATGTTGCCCTTATGTTGGTAACGTGCAGGTAATCGAGAGTGAAGGTTGTATACCTTCAATAGTTCGAGTCGATGTCATTGCTCTGATATGTAACACTCGGGGGGATGAACGCTTGTTGTTTTTAATTGTTGATTATTTTAGTTGTTGAAATTTAATTTGTTGGTTGCTAAGTATGTATTATTTTGAAGTTGCTGTAACGATGGACAAAGATGTTATTATGAATTTCGCTGCGTAGATGTTTAAGTTGTTGAATTAAGATATTAAATTGCTATGCTGATAGTTCATCCGAAGTTTTAAAGTGTTATGTATCCATGTTGAATGCAATGTGTTTTTAGAGATGAATTTGTGGCATCCTGATTCGTTTGCATGAATTTTATGACTCTGATTTACACATATAATTGCCAGGTAGAATTAGGGTGTTACAAAGTTGGTATCATAGCAAAGGTTGGTTCGTCCGACCTTGTTGTCGAGTCGTAGTTGTCTAACAATCGAGTATTGTTAATTTGAGTTCTAACTGTTGTTTATGTTGTAGTGATAAGTTGAGATGGCTGGAAGGAATAATGTTGCATTTGCTGCTGCTTTAGAAGCGATGGCGCATGCGATGGAGAATCAACCGAATGCTGACGGGACTGCTGGATCTCGTAGCTTGGCTACTTTCCAGAGAGAGAATCTGCCTACCTTCAAGGGAAAGTATGATCCTGACGGAGCATTGGATTGGTTGAAAGAGATTGAGAGAATCTTCCGTGTGATGGATTGCACTCCAGCACAGAAGGTTCGATATGGTACTCATATGCTAGCAGTTGAGGCTGATGACTGGTGGCTAGAGACTTGTCAGAGATTGGAAGCTGCGGGTGAGAATGTCACTTGGGCTGTGTTCCGTAGGGAATTTATGAGGAAGTACTTTCCTGAAGATGTCCGTGGTAAGAAGGAGATTGAGTTCCTTGAGCTGAAGCAATGGAATATGTCGGTTGTTGAGTATGCTGCAAAGTTTTTTGAGTTGGCTAAGTTTTATCCGCACTACGCTGAGGTAGATGTTGAGTTTTCGAAGTGCTTCAAATTTGAGAACGGGTTGTGCCCAGAGATTAAGAAGGAAGTTGGATACCAGAAGATCCGTGTCTTTGCTGATTTGATTGACAAATGCAGGATTTATGAGGAGGATAATAATGCTCATTACAAGATTATCAGTGAGAAGAGGGGTAAGCACCAACAGAATCGTGGTAAGCCTTATGATACCCCAGCTGGTAAAGGCAAACAAAAAGTTGCTCAGGGTCAGAGGACTAGCGGAGGAGATGCTCCTGCTGGTGTGGTTTGTTTTAAATGTGGGAAACCTGGGCATAAGAGTAATGTGTGTACTACTGAAGTAAAGAGGTGTTTCCGTTATGGTAAGAACAAACATGTTGTATCTGAGTGCAAGCATAAGGATGTGATTTGTTTCAACTGTAGTGAAGAAGGGCACATCGGTAGTCAGTGTCAGAAACTAAAGAGGGCGCAGACAAGTGGTAAAGTGTTCGCTTTGGTTGAGGATCAAGCAGCTGTTGAGGACAGACTTATCAGAGGTACATGTTTCACTAATAGTACTCCTTTAATTACTATTATTGATACCGGTGCTACTCATTGTTTTATTGCTGCTGATTGTGTTGAAAGATTGGGTCTTATGTTGTCTTCTTTGAATGGAGAAATGGTCGTCGATACTCCAGCCAAGGGGTCGGTGACTACTTCTTTTGTGTATTTAAAGTGTCTCTTGTCGATCTTCGACAGAGACTTTGCTGTTGATTTGGTTTGTTTACCGTTAAGAGGTTTGGATGTGATTTTGGGTATGAACTGGTTAGAGCATAACTATGTTCATATTAAATGTTATGACAAGTCTGTGAGGTTTTCTACTTCTGAAGAAGAGGGAGGTAGTCTATTGTCTGCTAAACAGTTGAGAAAGTTGATGCAAGAGGAAGCATAGAGGTTCTCGTTGATGGCGTCGCTATCTGTAGAGACTCAAGCTATAATTGAGGAATTGCAGGTGGTGTGTAAATTTCCTGAAGTTTCCCCCGATGAAATTCCTGATGTACCGCCGGAGAGGGAAGTTAAAATTGCA